AGAGTTTGTTTAGGTGTTTGTACCAGTGGAAGGACAAGATGACTTTGTTTTAAAAACCCAAAGGAAAAGGGTGAGCTCTTTAGGAAGGCAGGAGAGCACAGGGTTAGGTTGAAGAGCAGAAGGTATAAAGATAACTGCAGAAGTCAAGAAAACCCCAAGGAGTAGCAGGTTTTAGTTCCAGAGTCAGCAGTCCAAAAAAAAAAAACTAAATTAATAAACAGCACAACAGAGTCTTGTGGTAGTTCAAATACCTAAAAGCAGCAGATACCAGTAAAGCATCTAGTTTTGGCCTCCCACTTACTACTCTACCTCAACAGCTATGATCAGCACATGCTGTTAATTGTCTGTCAAAATGCATTTAAATAGATTAGTGCTCTGAAACTCTTCAACCTGGTCCATCTCCCTACAAGAAAACCTGTCAAGTCATTTAAGTGCTCAAGGAGAACATAACATTTACAGCAGACTCTGAGGGATTTAATGCATAGTTGAAAGAACATGAATTTCAGTATCTTTGGGTTTTCTTTTTCAACTTTTGGCATGAAGTGTTCTTCTACAAGAGTTTCAGATTATCAGAAGTATAAATATCTAGTCTTGAAGATAGTTAGAAATAGAAACCCTATTAAGCCCAGTCCTGTCCAGGGGAAAAAATTAAACATCTCCAAACTCCATTACAGCAGCTTCCCAGGATGCAGACCCCTTTTTTACCTGCAGGCTGGTACAGTTCACAAATGGGACACTGAGTATCAGCCTCTCATAATCCACAGTGTAGTCACAGGACACGATCTCCTCACCACTCACATCTAGGAGGGATGGGGAAGATTAGCTCTGCAGCAAACAGGTTTCAGCAGGAGGGGCCAGGGCAGCAGCAATACATACCAACAACATGCAGATGCCAGGTGTAGTTGCTAAGCTCTCTGGAAAACTCAGCTTCCATCCTATCCCTATGACAGGTCACATTCTCTGCAGAGGAAAGACCACCATGAGCTCCAGCACACACACCCTGCAAGCCCCCCAGCCAGCCACCCTTCAGAGCCCCTTCTGTGCCAAGGCAGAGGGGAAGCAGCTCCAAGCAAACCCAAAGCCCCACCACAGCCAGCCCAGAACACATTACCCAAGACATCCTGATCCCCCAGGCCCTCAGCACAAGGGGCTAAGCACAGCAAAAACCCAAACAGGAGCAGCAACCTGTAAAGAGAAGATAATCAAATGAGAGAGCAGCAAGGAAAGAAACCCCACCCTTGTATCCTAAACCACACTCACCACATCCTTGAGATGCTCCAGCACTGCTGCCCAAACCCCATCTCTTCAGGAGACCACAAGCTTGGCCTTTGGCTGCCCAGGGAGGATTATATACGCCCTGGGTCTGGCTCACACAGGTGCCACCTCTCTGCTGCTCAGGGAACAGAGCACTTGCACCTGCTGCTCCTTGAGTGGGGCAGCTCACAGGAGACTTTAAGGTAATACTAAGTCTTTAGCAGGGGTTGTTGTTGCCTTCCATTTTGAAGGCATTCTTTTCTTACTCTGATAATGTATTCCCTTTATTCCCATGCCAGATGTTTTATAGAAAAATGCATCTATTTTGGCAGTTATTTTTTTTAAATGGAGTTTTCTGTGCCAGCATGACAGAATTTGAGACAGCAATGAGCTCAGTATTGCTTTCCTTGGGACTATTTGAAGCACTGGTGAAGATATCATGGGGGGAAAGATCCCCAAAACCAAGGAAAATGTTTTAACTCAGAGCCTGAATGCCAGGTCAAGACTCCTATTTAACTTGTGTACTCACAGCAAAAACTGCAAAAGCCCCTGTGATACAACAGATAATGTCTCTGCCCCCAGCCCTACTGTGTGCAGGCTCTGCAAGGGATGTCCTTGGACCCAGAGCAGAGCAACAATCACATCAGGTGGGTGTCAGGCAGCCCTGGTCACACAGAGCCTGGCATAGGTGATCCTCAGCCTGATGTGGGTCAGGCTCAGCCTGGCTGTGGGAACTGGCTGCTCAAGAGGACATCCAGCAGCAGTGTGTCCTGGGGCACAGAAGTTTTGCCTCCCTAAGAAGTGAAGAAATAAGCTCTTATTGTTGTTTTAAATGTTGTCATCATCTCCGAATTGTGTAGCCAGGATTACCCAGTGTGACTAATTTCATTCTTCTCTAAGCCCATTAGTTCCAAAGATCTCATTAGGCAAGCAAAGACTTCCTTGCCTCTCCTAGCATGGCCTTTACCATACCACATTTGGTGCTTATGAAAGTTGCAGTGAAGAAATGTTGTGCTGGATAATACCTCATACAAAACAGATGGCACAACAACATCACTGTGCAGATTTATGCTCCAAGTTACCTTCAACAACCTAACTGGTGATACTGCAGCCTTTCAATCTAAATAGTTTGTTTAACTGGCAAAATTTTATTTGAGACTGTTCTCAAATTAAGAGTAAAATCCATATACACAGTAAAATCCAATAACAAATCAAAGCTGCTGGTTAAATAATTCATTAGTTTATAACACCATGTACCATCACAACAGAGTTTCTCTTGAGCCTGGTAAGACATTTCAATTGGAAGTAGAATGGTTCTGAAGTTCTTTTCAAACACAAGAAGAAAAGTTTCATTCTAACTATCCAAGGAGTTTAAAAAGATCACAATTTTGAGCTTAGTCTCAAAAGAATAATCTCCATTCAGGCTGAGAAATTTAGCTCATTTGATGTTGAATCATTTATTGCATTTCAAGTTGAGGTTTTTGGATGGGACAAAGATGAACAAGTACCAGGAGTTTAGAAACAGATGAAGATTTTGTTTGGTCTTTTCTTTCTTCTTTCTTTTTTGTGATGCCCACTTTTATGAAGGAAATAATAATAAAGCTTGCAAAGTCCTGAAGCTTCTCCCCAACTGACATGGGTTTTTCTTTACCTCTAATTAAAACTTGGAACAATAATTTCCCACTTAGCATTATACAGGGTAAGTTTAAAATCAATATTTTTCAGATGATAATAATAAAAATTATTCTGAGATCAACACTTTGTGTTCTGGATTAATTAAGAGAAAAGCAGATGAAGGTAATTCTGTAGTAAAAACCAAGGATCTTGAAAATTAAAAGGACTCTTCTTCCATTAAATCACTTCTCGTGAGTATATCATGTTTCCTCTCTCATACCAGGCACTGGTGGTATATGCAGTATGAATGGTGATCATTTTACCCCTGAAAATAAGGCCTAGTAAAAGAAATAAAATTTGATGTCATTAAGAATCAGCCAATCTTTTATACATATATAAAAGATAAATATATATTTATACACATATACATGTATTACCTATCTTTTTTCTGCAACAGCTAGTTTTTCCAGTAGCTGTCAATTTAGCTCCATGCTGAGCCTGGAAAAGTATTAGAAAAGTATCAATGTAGTGCAAGGAACCTGAGAAATGGCTGAGAGTAAAACTGTCTTCTAAAGTAGGGATGGAGGTTTCCTGGGTGAAGCACAGCCCATCCTGACTGCCCTGAGATGGCAGACAGCAGCAGGGACAGCTGTGTCTTGGGGTGACACGAGGGACAACCAGGACTTTCCTTTACTCTGAGCTGGAGTTGTTTATTCAAAGGTTCAAACCTGTCAGAGGATCTGACTGACCCTCCTTGTCCTCATGAGAAGAAAAAGGTTGGTACAAGTTCGTTCCTGAAGAGCTCTTCAATCCCTGTCTGAGAAAATAATGAAGAGAGAAAGCCCATTTTGAGAGGTCTCTTGTGTGTCACAGGGGCAGAATTATGGGATGTAAATGAGGTGGCAGAATTCCATTTGGGGATTGCACCAACACTGAGCAAGGAGTTGGTTTGTGATTCTCTAATGGGGGCACAACAAGCAACAAAACCCCACTGCTAATTGCTGAGGGTAGAGTCTCTGAGATCCAGGTTAATTCAGTGAGCCACAGAAAACAGCTTGGCAAAAAGTAATGTTTATGTAGCCGCTCTTGTGAGTGTGGCCAGAAGAACCCTGAGCTCCCAGCACTGCAGGGAGCTGCAGTAGCCTCTTACCAACTTTTCAGCTGCTGTTCGAAAACTGGCTTTTTATATGCCTTGCTCTTAGTAATTCTTTTGAACTTAAAGTTAGAATTAGTCTAATTCTAACTCAGGGAAAATTATTTCCAAATCAAGAAATCATTATTTGTGATGGGAAATTGACCCATCTGTTCCCAGGCAAGGACCACAGTGCCCAGGTGGGGCAGTGGGCAAAGACCCATCATATTTCCTTTTCTGGAATTCCCTGCTGTATCCTGAGGAAATCCTGTACATCTTTTCTGCATCTAGACAGATATTACAATACCTGTCAGAAGAGTTTTATATTTGCCAGTTTCCTGAAGATCTCCTGATGAACTGCAATTTACACAGCTGTGGCTTTGCCAGCTGTGACTTGCAGACTTGTTGGGGATTTTATCCAACCATCACCCTGTTCATCATTTCCAGACTTTGTACACAACATGGTTCCATGGAAGGGCCTGGGCAGGGCAGGGGAGTGACTTGTTTCCAAATACAGCATTCCAGAAAAAAGATGGGATACAAAGGACTCCACCAGGAAAGGTAACTGCTCACGTGTTTCCTCCCATCAAACTCAGGGATATTTTATTATTTGGAGTGAAACCTGGTCACACTGACATTCATGGCCTTCTGAAGGTTTTTTTGACGTTCTTTCTGTAGCTCAAAGTCCTTTTGCAATTCCCACAGAACATCCAGGCAAAGACACACAGAAGATGCCTGGATCCCCTCTCTAAGTAGTCAATTATGCAACAAACTGTACATGGCAGAGGCACCTTGCAGGAAATGAAAGCATTCACCACTCCACACCTCGTTACCTATGCAGATCTCCAGAGCCTGCCAGGATGAACTTTGCCTCCCCATTCCCTTCCTCACAGGGACGTCTCTGCTTGTAATCATTAATGAACTATCCCTGTAATGGAAGAGTGACTGTACAGCCCAGATATCGCCCAGAGCTGCTTTGGGAAACCAGGAGCTGCTGAAAATGTCGAGCAGGTACCACAAAGCAGCAGCCGATGGCAATGTGGACCTGTTGAAAGAGGCCACTAGGAAAGACCTCAACACTACTGATGAAGATGGGATGACACCCACCCTTCTGGCAGCCTTCCACGGGTACCTGGAAGCTCTGGAGGTCATTTGCCGGAGGGGGTAAGTCAGCCAGCCCCCACTGCTTAAAGCCTGGGCCTCAAAACTACAACTACTGCATCGTGTTTCTAGTGCCACAATGACAGGCCCGAAAGGCTGAAAATCACAGTAATTCCTTTCAATGCATTGCCAAGAATTGTTTCTTTAGTGGCAGTGGTTTAGGTCCAGAGCCTGCAGGAGGGTCTCTTCATTATTTTCTCAGGCAGGGGTAGAAGAGTTCTTCAGCTGGTGTGTTAGTGAAAATACAACAGCATCCACAGGAGCACATCCTGTGTGGAGCCTGCAGAGAGCAGCTCGGAGAAGCAGGGCCCTGGGACCTTTCTTTCCTCACTGGAGAGGGTTGCCAACAACCTTTGAGGATATCTTGAGACAGGATTTATAGAGAAATCCTTAATTTGAAACAGTTTTAGCAAAAAAATATCTTCCATTTGCTTCCAAAGTGCAGTCAGTAGGCACTTGTGAAGATTTAACGCTGTCCAGAGGCGAGTCACAACATAAAGCATTAAGCCAGTAGCATCTAAAATGGTTATTTCTCTGCTTTTTTAATGGTTATTTTCTCTACTTTTCTACCATCATGTTATAACTGAGGATACTGTTTCAGAAGCTATGATAGGACCCTTGTAAACGATAAAGGAAAAAAAAAGATAAAAAGAGGGAAAAAATGAAAGGAAGGTTTTCTACAGGTTTATTTTCTAGTAATAAAATGTCTGTATCATTTAAATATCTTACATGGTTAAATTGTCTTATTGAAATGGTAATTACCTCTCCACCATCAGGACTGTCTTGCTCAGAGCCTACCTTTTAAGCTGTGGTTCTGTAATAACATCTAATAAAAGAAAATATGCCCTTGTGTAGAGAGACAGTTAATAAAATGTTCTTTTCCAGAACAGCAAACAGATTGCAAGGAACAGTTGAATAACTATTTGGATGTATCTGAGTTTTATTAAAAATTGAGTTGAAAAATATTTTTTTTTCATGGATTTGCTTTATAGCTCATTTGGCTCAGGTGTGGCTGTGGTATCACAATGAAAAAGACCTTTGGACTGCGTGGTTGTTGCTTTGTCCTCAGGAGAAGCAAAAATAGATTGACAGTTTTTCTACTTGTGCAATTAAGGCAGCTCCCAGGAAATACCTGTCAATAAGGTTTGTCCCTGAACACCTGCAAGCCAGAACAACTAGATAAGGAACAAATAGAAAAATATTTTTTTTTCAAAATTTGAGTGAAAAATATATCTCCTACCACATAAGCTGACAGAAATCACAGCAGATGACACAAATATCAAAATTTCTTTATATTTGTTATTTCATGTATTTCTAAATCATTTTCTTGGTAGAGGACAGCTTTGGGAGAGTATCACCTCAAAATCTTCAAACATATGTGTTTACCTCTATTTTAATCTAAGATTTCTTAACACAATCAGTGAGATGTGTCTGTCAGAGGCTGCATTCTCACTGGTTTTTTTTGGGAGAAGCTGAATTTTAGAAGATGTTTGAGCTGTTCTCCAGTCAGTTAATGTTTTCTTGTGAGAAAGTATTTTAATTATTTTTAACAAATTCATCCTTTCCTTGAAGAGGTTTCCTGACAGAGGCTCTGAGGTACAAGGCAATTTTCTTTAGAGTGGTTGCAGATTTTAGGACTCTCAAGCTTTGGCCCTTGGAAATGTAGCAATACTAACAATAAACCCCTTTCATCTTGAAATAATTCATCTTCTCAGGGGTCAGGAGACCTTTTCTCTGCTTGCCTTGCAGGTACATGAATAAAGAAAGGCAAGACCAAATAGCAGAATCTGCTCTCTTTTGTGTGAGCCTTCTCCTTGGGAAAGCAGGGAAAGGAGGAGTTTGAGAGCCCAGAGTAGATGTCAAACCTTGTCCAAAGTCCCACTGAGCTGGGAACAGCCACTTGAGTTTGTCAATTGTTTGAGACTCAAAGGCTGGCAGGTTCCACGGGGAAAAGAGACCACAAAGAGCTCTGAAGGGACCTGGGGGAGGACGGCTGACCCAGCACTCCCCAGGCTCAGGGTGCCACAGCCAGCTCCCTAATGTGGGAATTCAGGAACCCAGCACGCTCAGCTGCAGCCAGGCAGCTCCCCAGGGCACAGCCACAGAAGCAGAAATATGTACACATGGTTTCCATATGTCTGAGTGGGGAAACTTTGATCCTCAGCTGCCTCCTCCTTGTAGCAAAGCCTGAGCTCCCACGGCCAGCACGGTCCAGACCCCCTGACCTCCCTCCTGCCTGGGGCAGCTCAGGCTGGAGGATGTGTTCAGATCTGGCCCTCAACAAACCTGGTGGTGCTTCTCTTCAGAGTCCCAAAGCCAGAGATCAGTGCCTGAAGGACGTTTTGTGACAGGATGTACCCTGTCTTTCACAGTACAGCTGCCATGGCACCAACCTCTGAGTCATTGAAATGCTTGAACCCCCAAGAGTGGAAATTCTTGTAAATTTGATCCCCAGCTTTTGGTCAATAAAGATTTTGGGCTTCCGTGGCCACCCTGTTTGTTGGTCACAAGAGGGCACAGGCTCTGTTCTGAACATTGCTAAGGCTGACCTTGCCAGATGTGTATCTAAATATTCAAGCTGATTCTTATCTGCAGGCAGCAGTTCAGTGTGAAGTCAGTGCAAGAGTTAAAAATCAAGCAATACTTTTCTCTGGCTTTAAACTCAATTGAAAATTGTGGCATTTTATTTTCAAATGAGCTTCTGCTTTTCAAACCCTCATGAGCAAAAGCATCTTACGGAGAACAAAAGAGTTGAAAAACAATGGCATCTATCTGGACTTAAACTAAAAATAAATGGACTTAAAAATAGCAAGAGAAACAAATGGGTAATCAGGGCTTTACTCCGGATCATTTAGCTATTACCTACCAAAAAAAAATACTACAGGAGCTCACTAAGTGTGTATCACTGTGGTCAGTGAAGAAACCTCCTAATATTGACCTGTATAAGGCATGCAAAAGGAACAAGTCACTAAGAACACTGTAAAATATTCCACACAAATGTTCTTGAAACAGTTTTGCCAGTAATTACAATGACACTAAGTCAAAGCTTGAGTCCACTTTGAGTTGCCAGACCCTGGGATGACAAAGGAAATGTCCTGGCTCCCTTACGGGGAGATGCAGTCACAGTCAGCCCTGTGAACTCGTTTGACTCAAGGGGCAGGAATTAGAGCTCATGCCACACACACAGCCACGCTCAGGGCTTGTGTGAGTGCAGCCCTGTGCTAGTGGCTGGAGCCAAGCTGAGCCATTGTCCCTGGGTTGTTCTCCTCAGAGCAGAGCAGAGTGACACATTTAGTGTCTGTTCAGTGCTACTGCAGAGCTCAGTGTGGGTAGCCCAGCTCACTGTGTGCTGTTTTCCCTGCCAGGGGTGATCCAGACAAGTGTGACATCTGGGGGAACACGCCCCTGCACCACGCTGCCTGCAATGGCCACATCCACTGTGTCTCTTTTCTGATCAACTTTGGTGCCAATATCTTTGCTCTGGACAACGACCTGCGCACTCCCCTGGAGGCAGCTGCCAGCAGGGACCGCAAGGAGTGTGTCCAGATCCTGGACAAAGCTGCCACCGAGCAGAACTTGCTGAATCCAAAGAAGGTCTCCAAACAAAAGGCACAGGCCCAGAGGAACGTCGAGAGACAAGTCAAGGAATGTGAGAAGCGCCAAGAGAAACACCAGCATGAAATGAACCGAAATTATATTAAAGAAAAGGTTGGCACAATGAATTCTTCCAAAGGAACACACTCCAGGGTAAAGTTGCCCAGCCTATTTGCTTCAAATACCACAAGTACTTTAACCAAAAACCTGAAAGATACCTTGAAACTCAAGACAAAAAAGACAGCCAACAGCACAAGAAGGCAGGAAACACAAAGAAATGACCAAGAGGATGATACCCATAGGAAAAGTGTGATGCATTTGTTTGATGAGAAAGAGGAGGATGAATTACTGAATGACCTCGAAGAGAAAAACCTTGCTGGTAATGACAGTCAGCTCTCCATTTTTCAGAGGCCAGGTCTTGGCAAGATTGTGTTTGGAAGGAATTTGGCTGCAGAGGTAAATCCTGAAACAGTGTCTTCTGAGAAAGAAGGTACAAGAGTCACAATGGCCAGTGAGCTCTTCCAGTATGAAAATGCTGAGAATGGAAGGGAGGATGATGATGAAAACAGTGCTGGTGTCCCTTGGAATGAGGAAGAAGTCATTTGGGATGATGAGGAAACAGAGAATACGCCCCTTGAGGTATTTCTGGCATCACAGATGCTGGATGAATTTCTTCCAGTCTTCATGAGGGAAAAAATTGATTTAGATGCTCTGATGCTATGTTCTGATGAAGATCTACAGAGCATTCAGATGGAGCTTGGGCCAAGGAAGAAAGTCTTGAATGCTGTGAATAAAAGAAAACTGGCACTCAAGAACCCTGGAAAAACAGTAGATACTTGTTTATAAATTATTATATCTGTTGTTGTAACCTACACATTGATTCATTACCTTTCCCTCTCCAAAGAGAGTGCAACTCTTCTGAGAAGTTTGCTAAAGCAAAAGGCAGAGAGGTTACCAATTGCTTTAGGAAATACAGCAGGGATAACATTTTTCTCTCTGGATAGGTAGTTGTGGTAAACAGGATATTAAGTAAAGTATATTCTGCCAAAAAGCAAGAATGTGAAGGTAAAAACCCAAAACCTTCTTCTCCCTACTGTTTATGTGGATTGGATTTCTTTTGGTCCAGATAATTTCAAGTATCAGTGAAGGCCAGGCCCATTACATTTCTTAATAAAGGCCTTCCTTTCTTCCCCAAAACCACAATGCAAAGAGCATTCTCAGTGCTTGAGAGCTTTGAGTTTTCTCAAAGCTTGCTTCTGTAAGATCAGTAAAACCACTCTTCCTGGTACTGATGGTATGTTAGAAAAGGAATCTGAATATTGATTTTAGCTGTGGTTTATTGACTCTAATCACCTCTGAATTAATGTAAATAAGACTAATTTACATCGTTTCATATTTTTGTTAGTAAAGTTTGTACTTCTGTATTGACAATAATTTTAAAATACATGGAGTATCTTCCCAAGAGATGTTCAGTGTCAGTTATATATTCCTTTCTCATCTCATTAGACTGGATCTAGTTGCCTGGACCCATCATGTCCTAAATATCATCAAGGCTGCAATACTTTTACCTACAAGAAGCTGAGGTTTAACTTTCAGAATTTTGGATCTATTTTGGTACACCCTCAACTTGGTTCCTATAAGGCTGCATTTTCCATGCAAAGTCCCAGAGATGAGGATTCATATCACACACCATTTTCTGTGGGTTGTTGTCAGCCTTAGCCTGAGAGCTGTGTATCACACACACACTCTGAAAATAAGTTCATGAAAATAAAAAATGAGCTGTGCTGCTGTGGAAGCTTCTGCTCCTCACAATCGATCTGGAGGCATTCACAGCAGGGTTCCCCTGTTCCTTTGGGAAGCCAGCACTATCAGATGTAAATTAATCACTCCTGTTGATTTTTGTGAATCTAATAAAGTGCTTTTAGTAGCCATGCTCTGGCTAAGATCACAGATTTTAGATGCACATTTATTAGCAGAACATTTATTGTTAAAGATCTTCTAGTTTTCCATTAGCCAGGTATGATTTTTTCTTAGGGGTATGCTGCATTTGTGGACACTAATCCTGGTTAATGATCTGTTTTTTCATGTTTCTTCTTTCCATATCATCTTGTGACTGTGATTTGTGTATTATAATATCTTTTCTTGGCTGGACTTTATACTGCATTCTTCCCTGATTGGATTCCTGGACACAGCAGGCTGATATGTTCTTATATTAAGCAATCACATCAAAGTCCTGTTCTGTGCAACCTTCCACGGTTGCTGTGCTCAGCAATCCAGACACCTTCCCCCCAGACTCTGCCTGCTTGTTTTCACTTTGGCTAAGAAACACCCAAATGTTTAACAAATCAAGAAGGAACCAATTACCCTTTCATATCTGAAGGCATATGACAGGTGGATTTCCAATCCCCATCTGCTGGAGATGCAGATGCTTCCCGTTCCTGCTGAGGCCAGCCCAGCCTCATCCGCCTCTGCATCCTCCAGTCCCTACAGCAGCTGAATTCCACATCCCCAGCACACAGGGCTGACACAAGGTCTGTACTGCTCCAGTGGCTCCTCTCTGCTGCAAAGTGCTGATCACGATGCACCTTTTTCAGGCCAGATTTTAAATAAGTGGGTAGGATTCAGCTGTCCAGGAAGTGCTTTCAAAAACTCTAAGCATGAAAATGCCTGTCACCAATGGGAGGCTATTGCAGGTAGAGGAGAAGACACTGCAGGGGGAATCAGGAACCAAGGGTCGCCAAATTGCACTGAAAATCTGCTTCTGTGCTTCCTCATCTGCAGCCTGTGGCAGCCAGAGAGAACAGCAGGGACCATCTGCACATAAACAACTCAATTGTCACAGGCCTCCTCACTGCTCAGGCACCTCCTTAGGTACTTGCAGTGACTGTGCAGCTTCAAGGAACAGCACCAGACCTGTAGGAGTCCCTTGTCCTCCAGAAACTGCATCAAGAGACTAAGAAACCCTAGGGCACCCCATATGACACTTACTTTTAGTCAACTGAATAAATTTTTAATTTTTATTCTTTTTAATTAAAAAAAAAGTGCAATAGTGCTAACCCTTTTCTTATGGGATGGTATAAAACAGCCCTGCAGAAAAAAATTGGGGGAAAGATTAATAGAAAGGAAGACTCACAGTTCATGGTTTTTCCACTCATGTGCTTCACTGTTTTCAGATTTTTTTACCGAGCCCTTGTTTCCTTTAGAGTTTGGAAGCACTAGAATCCTAGCTGTGACTCCTTAGGAACATTTGTATAGCTCAGTTCAGTTGGAGAGGCTTTATGTATCACGTGTGCAATCCCAGAGCAGAACCCAAACCATAAAACCAGGCAATCTCACATGAGCACAGCCCTGCCAAGTACAAGGTTCTCCTTCCTTAAGGATTTAATACTCTGCACTGCACAGACATGAAGAAAATGTGCAGCATGGGACAATTGCAAAACTGAATATCACAGAGGAACAGAGCACTCCCTATTTCTTCCATTTACATTCACTGATCACATTTACTGAGAAAGCAGTCACTGCAACAACTTGAGAACTTTATTTCTTCAAATAAATCAACCATAAACCAGAAAAGAAATAGACAACAAAATGGAAGTCAAAGAAAGATAGCAGTATCTATTTTATTTTAATATAAATGCAAGTTACACAATTTCATGATCCACTAATTTGTAAAGAGAAGGAAACACAGAAATTGATGCAATCACTTCCCCTCAGAAAATCTAAAGGTGGCATCCAAGTAATTCCCATTGTAACTGAACCAAATCCTCTTCATGACATCAGAGATACAACACTGAAGCCAGACTCACAAAATCTCCCACAGCCAATGGGGCTGAGAACAATGTGGATTTTCAGAACCAGGTCTTTGGACTGGCTCCATTTATTTTTTAAAGTGCATAGTCTGTAGGGGAGTACATGTGAAAAAAACTGGACTTGTCTTCTTCCCAAACACTGTGTCTCACAATTCAAATTACAAATCTGGTATAACACTGGCACAGAACTGGGATAATAATGTCATAATTATTTACTGCAAATTTCCATGGAGTTCTTGAGTAATGGAGCATCATTTACTTTCATGTTTACCTCAGGTTAGTGTAGTTCTGCATGACTGAAGTAACAAACTAAGTCAACACTTAAACTTCCGAACACTTCAATGAAATGACAGAGAAGAAACATGACATGTAAAAACAGAAAAGTAATTTTGCTACAATTAAAACACAAAAGCTCATACACAAATGTCTGTTGTTCTTTCCGATGGAATAAACAAGATCAGTGGAGTTCAGTTTGGATCCACATTAAATATCCTTCAGCCCTCTTAGTGGTCTGCTACCTTTCTATACTACCTCTGCCACTTAGTACATTTTCCAACTAGCTTACACAAGGCTTATAACTGGGAGTATTATTTACATCACACCTGCACTGTACTCATTAACCTCTTCTACACTTACCTATGCACCCTCCAGGGCTTTAATGCCAGCTGCTCCTGACCCTCCATCCTGTTGCTCAGCTCTGTTCTACTAGCATGTTATAAAATGCCCTGTCATCCAACTCCTGCACAGCATGCAGAAACACTTAATAGCCTGCATGAAATAATAAGCAAATAGAAATAAAATTTCACAAGGCACAACTTGTGAGCCTGAGACAGGAATTTGTTTCCAGGGCAATAGCTGATTTTCAGCAGATGCTCACTCTTTTGCAAGGCAGTTGCATAACAGCACAAAACTGGAACTTTTCCTTATGTCACTGGGTTCCTCTGCCAGGAAAGGACCATGAAAATTCCTGCCCCAGCTAATATCTGTGATAATAGAACAATTAGCAATTGAAGCAAAATACAGCCAAACTTAAAATATTTGCCTGTATACTTGAAATCAGTTTGTGTGGTTACATCCTTCAAGAAGCTCAGAAAAACAACGTAGAAGCACCATAGATTAATAGCAAAATCTCCTTACAGAACACAGATAAAAATTAAATCAAAACAGATATTCTCACATTCTGTGCAACTCCTTGCAATATGAAAACAGCAATATCCCAGTGAGGCATGTAGTAAGGGAGGTACTGAGCAGAAATCTAGCTGTATGGAGGTATGGTTATTTACATAAACCCCCACTCAGAACAGTGCTCTTAAGAAAAAACCCACTGAGTCTGAGGGCAAAGGAAGGTGGATTGCAAGGGGTGAAACAAATGGTGACTTCCAGTGTGAGCTGGAAGGGAAAGTGTGGCCAGGAGTTAGAGGTGGGCTGTACCTAGGAGGCTGAAGACAAGGTCACTGTCACTGGAGCACTGGAACACACAGTTGCATTTAAAGTACCATCACAGGTAAATACGATATGATGCCAGAGTCCATTCTTCAAACTGATGTATTTTATGCCAGAATTAATTATCCCTCTAAAAACCATGAAATCTACACACAGGCTTCTGCTACATAAATAATTAGGGAGGAAAGGCATTGATTCCAGAATGATACCAAAATATGTAAAGATACCCTTGTTAGTATCACTGCAAACATCCAATACTTGCTGTTACAAAAGAGAGACATTTATTAGCAATACTGCAAGTGTCTAATACTTGAAATTAGAAGAATTTAGAAATTAGTCTATTGCTGAAATTTTGCTTTTCCTTCTTGAATGTTCTAGAAGGGCCACATTCAGATAGGATTGGTGCCTTTCTTGTTAACACAGGATTCAAGGAAACTAAGTGCAAACAATTTTCTTGGCCTCATTGGCATTGTATACCTCTCTCTTCAGTTACCAGCTGACCATGCATCATAAACGAATTTTGCTGCTACTGTGTCTTCAACTGCCATCCCTGAAAAAGAATTGAAGTTACCTTCAAACATTTATTCAGCTGTA